CTCTTATCTCCCTTACCACCCGACTAAGCGCTTGTCCCATAATCTGTACGATATCCCCCATATTTATCCCTTGCGCCCTTATTATTATACGTCCTAGCTCTAGCGTCCCCCCGAAATAGCTTACCTCAAACCCCTTACTACCCGTTACCTGGCCCTACGATTTCTGAAACGGAATGTGCATTAACTGCTGGAAAACAATCGGATTAGATCACTGATGCGTTAGCGCTGCGTATCACGTGACTGAAATTTTATATCCTGTTCACGGCATAATTTTATGTCACCGCGTGCTTCTTTATTTAAGCCCACGCGTGACGGCGTGATCGTATCTCTGTTTTAGTACCCCGTGAGGGAATAACCCGGCTCGAGGATATAAAAGACAGCCAGTGATATACAACGCAACGCAGTAATTTAGATAATACACATATGCATAACATTTATTAATTAATATCCCCCATCACCGTACACTTCAATCTCGACACCCCAATCGTTATAAATTCGTCATGTATTCTAATGACTACCCAGCGCTTGCCTACAATCGCTGTTACTACCGTTGGGACCTGTACGTCTCGCTCAAACCATTCCCGCGACACATCTACTCCCAACCCCGCTAAACTATATTGAAAAACCCGCAATACTGTCCCGTCCGAAATCTATACCGTTTACTCTAACAACAATCTAAACAGTCTGTACAATCAACTAACATACAAAGAAAAACCATAGTTACGTATAAATATATGCATTATTATATATGCAATATATTATAAAATTATGCATATTACATATAAAGATATGCCATCTCGTCGAAGGTTGGTTCGATCGTCGTGCTGTCTTCCCCGCACTCTCTGTGTTTTTACTCTGTTAAACTTAGCCTATTTATGCTGCCCAACGTCCGCGCGCGACCTCGCTTTTCTTCGGTCAATGGGCGTACCTGCCATCTCCCTTTGTTTCTTGTTCTGCTGCTGTTGTTCTTCCCCAACTGGGTCAGTGATGTCATGTTAACCTCCATCGCTCGGCTGGTACTGCCCGGTGGTCAGTGACGTAACCTCTTCGCGTTCCTCTTCGTACCATGTGCTCGGTTACACATGCCCCTCCCTTTGACGTGACGTACCTCCGGGACGTCTCTCCTCGTGTCCTCACGAGCCCTTTCCCTCTCAGCTCACCCCGGCGTTGAAAGGAATAGGCCCTTGCGTTGTGTCTATGATGTTATCTGTATAGTGTTTTAGCCTATTCTTCTCAAAGCTGTGCGCGCTGCTCTCTCCTTCTCCATTGCCGCCTTTGTCCTGTCTATTGCTGTGGATCCACCTCCTGTCGTAGCAACGCGAAGGTGAGTTCGTGAGGTGCTAATGTTGGGTATATCGGTGCCGTTGTTTTTGGTGGTGCCTCGTTCTGTTGTTGCTGCTGTTGTGGTGATTGTTCCTGTGCTGTGTGGGCTGTCTTGCACCATTT